AATGTACCCAGCTTGAGCAACCTATGAATGCAGAAGAGTTTCTTGACCTTGAATGCAATGCCCCAACAAATGAAGAATTGTCAGAGGATGAAATCATCAAGATTGTCAGCAATGAGGAAAATTGCCAAATATCCTCAGAAGAAGAAGAAGAGGTTGAAGAACAGCCTGTTCCAACAACAAAAGAAGCTAAGGAGGCACTTATGAAAGTGCAACATTTCTTGGAGAAGCATTGTAAGGAGATCAGTGCCACAGATCATGTGATTGCCCTGGACAACCTCATTTCAAAAATTGGAGAGAAGAAAAAGAGGCAGACATCTATTCACAACTTTTTCATGCCTATCAATGCTCAAGGTATAGTAAACTTTTTTTCCCATTGGAATATTAAAATGTTACCTCTAGAAAATTAAATTTTAAAATTCACAATACATGTTGAAAAATCAATGTCATGCTGGGATGGCTTCTTAAAAATCCTGGAAATTTTTTGTATGTTCCAGGTGAATGAGCTGCTGACCTGAATCAATGAACCACAAGGGATGCATGGAGGATTCACAAAGACATTTATGAATACTCTTTTATGTGAAATTGTGCTTGTTACAATCCCTGAACATTTCAAAAAAATGCTTTAAAACTCAAATAAATTCGAATAAATTCGTTTGCTTTACTTATCTGCTGTGCTGCTTTCATTTTCCATGCACACCACCCTTTTTTTTCATTTCCCCCGTTAAACCGCCACCCTCGTTAAACCGCCAAAATTTGCTGGAACAAACGTTGGCGGTTTAATGAGGTTTGACTGTATATTGAAAGTGAAATGAACTCACTTGTTTTACTCTGGCTGTAAGACTAACACTTCTCAACAAGGTTTGTCCTAACAAGGAAACATCAAAAAGACTAAAACAGATAAAAGCAAAGAAGATGTTTTAGGCATATTCTTTTAATTTGGTCAATCTTTGACAGTTTAGGATAACAATCTCTAAAAAAATTGAGCAATGAACTAAAATGGAAAATATTTTTGAGTATAAATTCAATTTTAATCATAATAGTTTAATCTGTGTATGAGGCCATATGAAGGTAGGAAATGTTATAATTGCCTAAAGTTGAACCTCACCAACTAGAGATCATTAAAATTGAGAAAAAAACAGGTTAAAGATTCCAAGACTCACAGTTTGAAATTTTCAAATGGAGGACAGCAAAGAAGCTGCTGTATGAATTATTGAATGTTCAAAAAAGAAAGAAGTGGCACATGATAATTTTATGCATTGTACTCAGTAGTTTTTCATTTTCTTGAGCTGATGATTTTGTTCAACTTTCATTTAACCAATTGGAAGAATTAAACTCCCGTGATTGAGCATCAGCATGACAATGAAAAATGCAATCCGGATTTCGCAAGAAAACAAAGCGCAATAGAATATTGAAAAAAAAGTTAACTTTAAGGCGGTTCATCAGAAGTTGAAATAACAATTGTCAATTTGTAAGTACAGTACAGTACATTGCTGTACTGTAAATAACTCTACAGACTCGAGCGCATCCCCTATACTCCAGGAAATTTTATATATGCTCAAAACTCCCATAAATTCTTCGTAGATGTTGCAATAACGGCAACACCAGCCTGCCTCACACTCAACCAATGGAAAGGGAGTAAGAGCGTCACCTACGTGCAAATGCATTGAGTACCCAAGGAGCAGTGATGAAAAAGCAATATAGATGTCACCATCGCAGGGAGAACAAGTATGATTGATTATTCCCTTCAGTCGCTGAAAATCCTTCACTAATTGTGCTATCAGGAAATGATATTTCCTGAAAGGAAGTTTGGAACCCCCTTGAAAGTTATGCAATGCCCCAGAAAAACAGAAAAATTTCCAAATTAGACTCGAATTTCATTTTGTCTGGCAGCAATGGATGAAAATTTGTTGATTTTTTCTTGTACTGTATTATGTTTATTCAACTGCATGCTCCACTCAATCACTTCAGGACCTGTCATGGGCTGTATATTATACTAATCAAGACGTTTTATGGTCATTGCTGTGAGGGTTACACAAAGTATAACAGCATGGAAATGTTTCCTGTCACAGAATATATGTTATTGCATCATTTATAATGGGAGGAAATGAGTCTTCTCTATGTGTATTTCACCTGCTTATGTCCTGCAAGGGAAGCTATACATCCTAGTGATGCAACTGTATGAGGTCCTCAGACCCCAACACAGAGATTAGGTTTATAGTGAAATAAACTTTAAAAGCACAATCAGCCATTTGTGGCCTGAGGGTTACAAACTCCTCAACTTCTGTTTATAGATAAATGTCCAAGTCCACAAACAATTCCAAGCAAAATAAGTCACACACAATATGCAGGTCTGTTCTCTCCAAAATCCAGAGCAGGATTGATTGATTCTGCTGATCATTCTTCACAGGTCCAAGTCCTCCCCAGTGGAAAGCTTCTCCAAGGTTTTCACTGGGGTGTGACTAATTTTCTGTTTGTAAAATTCCTTGTAATTTCTTTCATCAAGTGATGATTCACTTGGTGGACTATTTTTCCTGAAGATCAATATCTTCAGGTTTCATAATGTTTGGAATGAAAAGGGTTTTTTCTATTTTCTTGAATGTTCTCAATTTTTATTTCTTGTACAACGTGGCATTTCATGCGCTGCATTGTACTTTTTGTACCTTGCTGTTCCTGTGCTGCGGGCAACATCTAGTTGACCCACAACAGAACCCTTGGGCTTTCCATATTTGCCACTGGTGGTGGGAGTGGTAAGCCCAATTGGTGTAGGCAAAGTTGCAGGGAGGAAAGATGGCAGCCCACATGCGCGGCACTTCCAGAATTTTTTGGAAGCCAGTAGATTGGGCTAGTCCAGGTCCTGTCATCATTATGACTGGATGGCGCAATACATGCCCTCCTCAGGTTTTGGTGAAGTCAGTGAAGACCAGTCAGTTGGAAGAGGTGCTGTCATCATGTGTGTAAAGGTTTTTTGGTGTATGCCTGCTGGTGTATGTGTGATGGTATTGATCTCATTTGTCAGTACAAAAGGAGGTCAATTGTCATTGTGCATTGTCCACAGGTGTAGTTGTCAAGAAATATTTGGAGAAGTCAACTGTTTGAAAAAGTGATGTGGATTATGACTTGTGTTTGTGTGTGACATTGTTCCTGAGGATGTGGAATGCTATGCCCATGGCAAAAACAGGTGGGCAAAGTTCTTTTGCATTCTTTGTGCGCAGGCCATGCAGCGCCACAGATGTTTCAGACGTATGTTGGTTATCTTCACAGGTTGTGTTTTGAGAGAAGTGTCTTTCCTTCTTTGTGACTTTGTGCCATAGGATTTGAAAGGCTTAGCCCACGTAACACATTTGGGAAATGTTTTTCACATTCTCCTGGCACATGTCATTCTACGTAACAGCAATCTGTTTGAAACGTAGCATTTGTTGGAGCAGGAGATAATGATCTTGTCTGCTAGCAGGCTTGCCATTCTGTGTTTTTAGAATTGTTGCCATGATTTCCATCAGGCAGGTTCATATTTGGATTGCGCATGTGCAACGTTGCAGAAAGTTTGTATGTGTTCCATTCTATGTCCAGTGTGTGTATGATTCCATCATGAATGGTTTTGTGAAGACCTTGTCAACATGTTAGTTACTCAGCAGTTTGCATAACTGCACCCATCTCAAGATTGTTTGAGGGAAAAGAGGTATTGACTGCAGGGCGACTTGTACGCCAATTTGTGTTTGGAAGACATTGTTGATTTGTTTTGACCTGATGAGGCATATAACTTCATGCCTTTGGACTTGAAAGGCTTTGCTCACAGAAGTATGTGTGCAAAATTTTTCACATTCTCCAGGCGTAGGTTGATCCTCACATCATGGGTATGCAAACCAATTTTTTGGTCAGCTCATGCCATTGTTGTGTTTGTAAGAATGATTTTTGGTTTGCTCAAGGTAACTTGTACACCAATCTGTGTTTTAATTCCCATTTGGGAGGTTTTTGCTTAACCCCAGAAAAGTGAAGAACCCATTGGTTTAGTGAAACCGGTACCCATCTCGAATGATCAAGGAAAAGGAGGTATTGACCTCTGGGCGACTCGTACGCCAATTTGTGTACAACTTTGGTCATTGTTAGTGAGAGCTCTCATTAAATAGATTGTACTGGCATGTTCTTTTTGCTTTTTCAGAAACTAGTGTGCATTAGAAGTTATCTCTTTTTGACTTTTGCAAACATTGTCAGTGTGCCAGCTAGTTAGAAAAATGAGTGGAGAAGACTCAATTGACGAAGGTGAGTGTCATCTTTGTATTGCATCCCTTTTCAACTAGGAGCAATCATGTGACACATTTCTGCTTTCTCATTTCTTTTCCAGTTGTGGCTGATTTGAGCAGTGGATTGAGGGGAACAGTGCCCCTCTGAGCATGGAGGATCAGGACTTCAAATCACCTTGTGGGAAGGTGCAGAAGTTGGACAAGGATATTGGCGTCATGAAGTTCCCGGAAGGCAAGGTGGAGCTTGCGCCGGTTTTTGGCCGGCTGAATGCTGATTGCCTTCACCAATTAAATACTCTGCTGCCCATATTCTTTTCATATTCTTGAACGGATGATTTTGTTAAGCTTTCATTCAACTATAACTAAAAATAATACAACTCTCTTGATATACAGTACTTTTCCAGCATTACGGGTGAACATCCATGTAACAATGGAAAATTAAGTCTAAATTTTGCAAGAAAATGAAGTCCTAAAAAACATTTTTTGAAAAATTAACTGGAAGGATTTGAGGCGGTTCATCAATAGTTGAAATAAAAATTTTACATATGTAAGTACTGTACAGTACACTGCTGTACTGAACATAACTTCACAGACGCAAGCCCGTCCCCTATACTCCAGTAAAATGTATATCTGTTCTAAAGTTCACGTAAATGTTCATAGATGTCGCTCAAAATTGAACAACCTAGGCCTCACGCTTTCGTGGATTAACAACACAAAAATCATGCATCTACTTTAACGTGTACAAAATCCATTTTGCACAGGAAATATATACTGTACTAGCTAATACACGGCAAAATTAACGAGCAGCAGACGAGACAGCATGTAAAAAAAAGGGACAAGAAAAAAATCACTCCCAAGTTCACGCAATGGGAAGGAAGTGAGAGCGGCACCTATACACAAATGCACTGAGTACTGAAGAAGCAGTGATGGAGGTGCCATATAGATGTCACCGTCGCAGGGAGAACAAGTAAAACAGATACATTTTCCAAATGAGATTCTGCAAAGTTCCTTCCGTCAGACAATGGATGAAAGTTCAGTGATTTTTTCTTGTACAGTACTATTTTGTATTATGTTCATCCATCTTCACGCTTCACTGAATCACTGCAGCAATGGTAAATGAATGTATATTATACTAATCTCGACATTTTTTTCAAATTGTCATGAGGGTCACACAAAGTTCAGTATCACAGCATGGAAATGCCTCCAGTCACCAATGCATGGTTTATAATCGGAGGAAATGGGTCTTCTAAGTGTATTTTACTTTACCTGCTTATGTCCTGCAGGGGAAGCTATGAATACTAGTGATGTAACAACCAAGATGTAATTCTTAAAAAAAAAACCACAAACACCCACACATTTAAATGCCACAATTCAGTACTAAACTTTTTGTCACTGCTTGGAATTATGTGTAACAAGCCAAGCAGATTTTACCTCAGGAGATTTCCATTCATTGTGCATTCATATTTACAACTTTTATCAAAGCTTATGCAGTCTTGGTAATGATTTTAAAATATTCGAAAATTATTGCTCAAGTCTGCAGCTTTTTGTAACATTTGAACTTTTGTAGAAACTTTCTAGATTTTCTGCTAGAAATGAGCTAATGACAAGGATTACAGTCCTTCTTCTAATCATTATGGCAACATGTACTTGAAACAATGAACAGACAAGTTTCTACATTTGAACATAAGAAAAGGTCTGTGATTTAACAGAAGTGCACTGTTTTCTTTGAATGCATAGTGAGACATTATTTACTTCAATTCCTGAGACTCAACAACTTGTTTCATACAGTTTAATATGATTACAATGACTTATGGAATAACATTTGTAGCCACAATAGTTGACTTAATCAATATTTAGAGATATTGATTATGCATTAAAAACAATTGAAGCTCAAGCATTGTATGACTTGAATAAGGTAGACAGTGATTTTAGTCTTCACTGTTTTCTTCACAACACAACACAACACAATACAATACAAATCATGTTCCACCAGCCAGGAAATTGAAATGAAAAACAATCTTTTGAACATAAATTCAAAAGGATATCAAACACAAAAATCTAAAACTCTGAGTAGTAGCCACAAAGAATGTTGAAGAAAAGTGAGGCTCTGGGAGTTTGAAAAAAAAAAAAGGTGGCCAATAGGAGCAACGTGTTGAAAAAAGATCAATATTGCACTGTGTTTGGGAGTTCAAAATTTCAACTTGGAACCATGTTCTGATGCTGAGTTCCATTGGGTTAATCCTTTGAACAAAATCTGTAAACATTTAGTTCTCAAAATTTACATCTGATATGCCAATTTTTTGGATTCCAGTTCTGCAATTCAAAGGAATTTCTTGCCTGGACATTTGGGTGAAAAGTTCAATTTAATACAATATCAAACCCTCAAACACTAATTCAATGCACACAAAAACAAGGAGGAAGCATCAGTAATAAAAACAAAGTCAGTTTTTGTTGATGGAATGTATGTTGAGTCCCCACAGCTGCCCATTGGCTATTGAAGCAGAGACTAAGGGACAATGTTTGGCAGCAAGCACACCAAGAGCTTGAGGGGTACCCACTTCAATGGGTGTATCCTTAGACATATTGTTCCAGTAATGCATGGTATAGCTCTGCTCAGCCTCTTTGAGAATACTTGCAGAAATATTTTGATCATGGCTGAACAACAGTTGCCATGTAGTAGGTAGGACTGGGTAAAAGGCACCTGTCAAAACATCAAACACAAGCGTTTACTTGCAGTGCATTTGAAATTGATCAACTCAATTTCCAAACTAGAATCAGCATGTTTGGTAACTTACTGGTAAAATGTCTGAGGCCAATTTAGAAGCTGAATGATGATTGCATAACATCTTTACTTCACAGAATATAGTGTCATGCTTGTTGAGTGCAAGGAAATGTACAAACAAGGAAAAGCAGCTAAAATAAATTGCATGGTATATCAGGTGCAATCCGTCCAGATGAAAATCAGTCTTTATAGATGTTTAACCTAAGTTTGTGACAGAAAGTGTTTGCATGTCAAAAATGGGTAATGAATTGAAAATATTACTTTTCAAAAGCAAGGAACCATTCTGTACCCATATTTACTGACTCATTGTTTGATCGTCTTTCTTGTTATTGAAAAAATATTTCTTCAACTCACTGATGTCCAATATTCTGATGCCCTTACAGTAACCAGGTTTCAGTAAATTTGTTGCATTGAAGTTGCAGAAAGTGCGGATCACCCTTGTCAACAAATATGGTCCATTGGAGCCCCATTTGTAAGGATTGAACCTGGAGAAGAAGAGGGGAAAAATAAGAATTGTGTGAGGTCAAGATTATAATCATCATTCTTTCAAATTATTTGGGGAACCATACTCCTTATTCAATGGAAACTTCTGAAGTAAAATTGAATATTTTAATGGTATGCCTTATGCATGAAAAGAGTTGATTGAGGCATTGAGGCTATGGAAAATCTACCAAATTTTGATGCTTACTCAGTGCACAGATTCACTTATTTCTCCCACAGGTTTGACAAAATGACCAATGTGCAAGTTAAAGATGAAAAAATGTCAAGTCCTTGGTACAAGCTCAGGCTAAAATCTAGTCTGTACTTGTTCATTGTGTAGCAAGCTGGTATATTTCTTAATTCTTCAGAGAGCTGAGTTTCTGAAATTTCAAAATATGACCAATGATTTGAAGAAGGAAGTGTTGTCCAAAAAAAGGTACAGGAGAATATATAAAACAAACAATATATTTATATCAAGATTATTCAGAACAATATAAATACAAAGTTTGAAACAAGAAAGTCTTGCTAAATTCTTCACAAGGCTTCCTGAGAAATAACCTTGACAAGGTTTGCATCAATTCTGAAGCTGGCTCAGGAAATCAGGATATACATATAGACTTGAGAGGAATTAAGGACAACCAAGATTCCTTCAAGTGTTGGTATTCATGAGTTTTTTAAATCTCATGAATATCTTTAATCAGAGAGCATCTCAGAAAAATCTACTCAATCATTTGATATAAATGCATATATCCAAGAGACATTTCCTCTTGGAGGGAAAAAACACACATTTTTGTGGAAGGAATAAATTAGGCAATTTTGCTTGTAGGGAAGAAACCTGCAACAAGTGTAAATGTTTCTAGGTTAACAGAAGATAGTACAGTAATTACAAAAGTTCCATAGAGGATATCTTCAACCTGGTTTTTCATTGTAGTTGGAGACCTATCAATCAACTAGCAAATAATTTTGGAACTCACTTTGCAGACAGCTCATTCATGCAGGCTTCCATGAAGGGATGGTGCTTCTCAAATGCCAATACAGCACCATTCAGCTCATCGTTAAACTGAAGACCAATATCATTCACCAAGTCATCCATTGGCCTCATGACAATCACATCAGTGTCCAAGTACAATCCACCATACTTGAACAGGGTGGCATACCTCAGGGCATTAGTGGCTTGGGGAGTTTTAAATGGACTCTTGTCAAGTAAGTTTTTGGAAAGCCATGGCAAAAGAATGGTCCCATTCAGCCATTGGACAATGTCCAAATTGATGAACATGACATTTGGGTACCTTTCAGACCAGGATTTCAAAACTACGGGCAGCTGCAAGAACGTATTGTTCACAGCCATTACCACAGGTCTGTTGGGGTGATGTAGAGCTGCAGACTCAACTGCACAGAGCTGTTTGGGACTCAACATGGGCAATCCTGAAGTCTCCATCAAATAAATGGCATTTTCTGGGATTTTTGAGGGATCAAGGGTTTCCAATGTCTGTTGCACCAATTCATTCTCGGATTGACGAGATTCCAGCACATTTTTCGGTCTACTGATTAAAATTCTAACCAGGATCACAGTGATCGCAACAATGAAAACCATGCGCTTGAAATACTTCTTTCGAATAATGCCTCTTCCACCAAAAAGATTCATGATTTTCTCTCCAAGTACGCGTATTATTTCTATTGTCTTATCTATGCAAATTTCCTTGTACAGTATTTGAAACACGGGGCACCTGAAATGGAAAAAAAAATGAAAGCAACAACAACAAATTTCCAGGCACCAGACGACAGAATTTTTTCTCGTAATGATTCATTTCAGGAATGAAATGCACCAAATCAAAGGTGAAAATATCTCACAAGGTTTTCAAGAATTATTTCTCAACAATTTTCACTGTAAAAAGGACTGAAATTGAAAATAAAGGTGTGCTGCGGAATTTCAAACTGCAGTATCCGAGTTTGCACCCGAAGCTGGAGAAAAACTTGAATAATACGTGACACAGTTTCATTTTCCCCGGCAGATATTCCGTGTAATCCCTGCACCAGCACGTCAGCAAAAATGTAATAATTTTGCACGTCATTCTCTCACTCCCACTCTCTCACTTTTTCTCTGTCTTGCAAAAAAAAAAAAAATTCGTGACGAGCGGTTTGCACAAAACAGTTTGAATTCCCTGGGAATTTGGAGACGCCAGTCTTCGGTTTTTCTCTTTTTTTTCTAGAAGATTTTCTTATAGTACAGACAATTTATTAACCAACTTATGCTTGAGGGTGTTTCTACATCATCAGCCTGGGTTTACAGTATTCGGCTCTTTCATCGCAATTTTCAGCGAATTTTAGTAAACCCTCGCTCTTCCTTCTACAAAAATTTGAGTAATGTTTTGCAAGTTCACATCAGTTTTCCTGTGAGAGCATTGCAAAAGAAAAAAAAAGAGGACCGGGAAAATTTTGAATACATAACTGATCCTTTGTGAAGACTTTCTTTATTCTTCACCAAAATCTTGTTTGAAATGATGATATGGATCCCGCATAATTTTAACTGCAATTGCTTTTGTCATTTGTTTAAAAAATATATACCATGAGGCCTCCAGACAATTTTACCGTATTTACTCAAGTACCACGCGCCCTTGAGTAAGGGGTTTTTCAGTTGAAAATTTTGAAAAAATCTTATCCCCAAGTAAGACACGCACCCCAATTTTTAGCAAATCTAAAACCATAAAAATTCAAAAATAAAAACAAAAAATTGGACTTTAGGCATGAATTGAACAAAAATCTAATCAATTTTCAACTTTTTCAGTACAAAAAAGTTTTCTTGTCACTTTTTTTCCAAATTTCTCCATTATGTTTAAGTATCATGCATTAGAACTTTCTAAAAGTTCTTAAAAAATTTGAACCCGCTTATGACGCGCACACCTTTTTTTCTTCTGAAATTTGGGAAAAAAGGTGCGCGTGGTACTTGAGTAAATACAGTACTTAATGACATACAATACTCAATACATCTGCCACAACATTGGATGATATCTTGAAATACAGACATTTTTTCTGGGGAATATTTTATAGTTTAAAGTGGTAATATCTTATCATGGTATGAGCAAATGTGTCCTTCAACAGGTTTAGAATACCCTAATCTGAACTTGGCTTTTGCGTTCCTAAATTCTGCTTGGTAACATCTGGAACTGCTTAGCTAGACCATATGCATTCAACAACTGCCTGGTTGCCAGTCATTCACTTGCATTTTTGCCTATTGGTTTACTTTATATATAGTATGTGCAGTCATCTATACTTGACTTAAGATCCAAGAATCTATATAGGAGTGTGCAAACACTCTTTTTTGCACTCATTGCTGGTTTGGCTTGAGCTGTTGCTGCATTGCTTGGATCTGTATTAAATGCATATATCTTGAAAGTGAAGTGAACTCACTTGCTTTACTCTGGCTGTAAGACTAACACTTCTCAACAAGGTTTGTCCTAACAATAGGAAACATCAAAAAGACTAAAACAGATAAAAGTGAAGAAGATGTTTGACTCATATTCTTTTAATTTGGTCAATCTTTGACAGTTTAGGATAACAATCTCTACAAAAAAATTGAGCAATGAACTGAAAGGGAAAATAGTTTTCAGTATCAATTTAATTTTAATAATAATAGTTTAATCTGTGTATGAGTCCATATGAAGGTAGGGAATCTGTTATAATTGACTAAAGTTGAACCTCCCCAAGTAGAACGTCACTGAATGGAATAATTTCTATAAACAATTTTTCAAAGTCCCTGTTGGGGTTCTTTGGAAACAATGTACTAAATGTTCAACTTGGAGGGTAGCCCAACACCATCAAGCCTTCGTTTCTCAAATTTCCTGGAGACCTTTTGTCTTTCATATTATAATTAACTCAGGAAAGAGAAAAGCATTGCAATCTGTAATGTGATCCATTGGGAAAAGAAGCAAGACTGTTTGGGCAAAGGAACCCTTGCCTTCAAGTTCAGCATCTTTTGTCAAGTAATTCATGAAGCAATTTATGCCCCAGAATGTCATCAACTGTAAATTTCTCTGCAAATCGATGTTTCTTTCTGCAAAAAATTCTCATTTCCCTTGCTCAAACGTTTTGCTTAGAAGGTAGACTTGGAGAGGTTTGACCGTAATGGCCTGGTGGGGGTTTTGAAAAAATGCAATTGTATTTGAATGAATTGCTGATTTGAGATCATTAAAATTGAGAAAAAAACAGGTTCAAGATTCCGAGACTCACAGTTTGAAATTTTCAAACGGAGGACAGCAAAGAAGCTCCTGTATTAATTATAAAATGTTCGAAAAAGAAATAAGTGGCACATGATAATTTTATGCATTGTACTCAGTAGTTTTTCATTTTCTTGAGCTGATGATTTTGTTCAACTTTCATTCAACCATTTGGAAAAAATAAACTCTGGTGATTGAGCATCAGCATGACAATGAAAAATGAAGTCCGGATTTCGCAATTGTGTCTCACAATCCACCACCCTGGCCCTGCAGATTATGTCTCAACGATCCACCAACCTGGCCTTGCACCCCAGGCAAAAAAAGGGTCAGGGTGAGAATCGGATCTATCAATGTCACTGGCCCCAGGAAAAGCCTTTGACTCGTCCGCGCCCAATGGAACAAAT